CGACTGTCAAAACTAAAAAGAAAACTTCATTTACTCATTTTTGTTTCATTTCATTTTAAAGTACAATTTTTTAATTTTTATTTGTACACAAATAATTCTTCAAAAATATATATGTATATATAATATATAAAAAACTTATTCTATAAAAACGGAGGTACTACTTGTTCCCAAAAAAATGAATAATAGTATTTCAAAATTGTAATTTGTATATTTTGTTTTAAAAAATAATAATCTTTAAGTTCTGATGTAAGGGCTCTTATTTTTTGTTAATTTGGAATATATAATTGTCTTTTTTTTCGGCTATATCAACCGTGTCATTTAAATTTTTAATAGTAAAAAAAATAATAAAAATTTTATTTTTATATTTACTCAAAAGGAAAACCTACTCTCTTGAATAAATATTATAATTGATAAACTAATTATATTAGTATATTATAAATTTTGTATTATTTTCAAAGTTCGTAAATGATGCCAATACATTTAATAAATAAATGAAATTAGTGATGTGAAAAAAAAGGAACTATTAAATTATTGATGTTTTACATTAATGAGAACTTTTATAGTGATATTTTCTATATTTGTATAATCAGGGGCGGACTGGGAATGCATCAGCCCCAAAGCAAATCCTAGAGGCCTCATTTTATGGGGGTTCCTCCCCCATACCCTCTTCGATTTTTCCATCTCGGCATATTTTATAATAGTTCTTATATATTTTTTGACAAAATTGACCAAAAGGCTGATTTAAAATTTTTATTGCCATGATTTTAATGAATGGAAATACTAATATTACACTATAATATTATATGATAAAATAACTGCACTTTTTCTTCAATCATACTTATTGTATTCCACATTATTTTACATATCATATTTTATATATTAAATATCTCAGTGTCTAAAGATATCAGTGGCGTATCCAGGATTTTCTTATGAGGGGGAGGGGGAATTTTTTTGGGGGCTTCGCCCTCAAATCCCTCTTACCTGGCCTTCGGCCAGTTTTTCCCCGGCCTCGGCTGGGTTTTATAAATCATATTTCTATTTTTAACTTTTTTTAACTAATTAGTGCTTATGGATATTACAAGCCTATTTTTTATTATTTTAAGTTAGGTATATTATATTTAATAAAGGTTTTTTAAATGTAAAGTTGAAATAAAGTTTAATGTCATTTTTTTTATCAAAATTGGTTTAAAAACTAGCCTCAGCTTAAATTCACATACAATATAAGTAGAATATAATTTTTTTATTCAAAATACTAAAAGTAGTGTGTATAAAATATTGACTAGAAAATAATTTAAAAAACAAGTTTTTTTAAACTTCTTATCAAATACAATATTATACAAAATTTTTTATTAAATACTATAATTATAATGTGATTTTTAATTTTCGTGGGAATGTTGCCAATTCACAAGAATTTCGTTTGTCATTGGAACCAAATCTCTGTGTATATTTAACATAGATAACCCATTTAGCCGAGATTCGCAAGTAGTACTTCGTAAATATGTTTTCAACCTTCTCAATTGGAAAAATCATTTCATTCGTACATGTTGTAATAGACAAACATGCAAGAATATAAAACAACTTCAAAATATTAGGAAATTGAGCCAAGGTTTCTTTACACCGATTGAGCGCATCAATAGCATCGAGTTTAGATAAATATTATGAAAATATTCATCTACATTCATTCTTATTTATGAAAATATTCATCTACATTCATTCTTATTGTATTACCTGTTTGTCCTAGTTTGTATTTATTGTTGATATTTATTTTAAAGAAAATGTCAATCAAGATTATTATGTTTTTTTCTTCGATTAAAAAAGTGGAGTTTGGTTTTTATTCAGAAAAGATCGCCATGATTTTCATTTGAAGAATATGCAATTATTTTATATCTGATGATATATCGCAACTAATTTTAATGTTTATATTTGAAGAATATCGTCATTATTTCATATTGGAAGAATATTGTCATTATTTTATAGTGGAAGAATATTTATAAAGATTCACAAACTACAATAAAATATTTTTGGGCTGTTTTTTTCGTATTTTTGTTACTCTTCATTTATATTTTCCGCCAAATCAATAACCTGAACCAAATCTAAATTTGGTTTTTATAAATTTCTACTAAGTAGTGAACTATAGGAAAATAAATTATTGATGCAACTAGCAGCAATGATAAACTCTGATTGATCAATTGAATTCAAAAATGATATCGCTTCTGACGACACATTACTTTTTTCATGCTCAGCCTTATTTAACTTTTGTATTTCTTTTGTTCTACAAAATGGAAGTAAAAATGAAAAATATTTAAAAAATTATAGATATTTATTAATAATTAAAATTTTATTAAAAATACTTATTAATTCTAACTCACTAATCATTTTGAATTTAATAAAATAATTATATATAATAATAAAATAAATTACCGTTTATTTCAATCTCTTTGACTAAAATTTTTTCCATTTTATTAATATTTTTAAATTATATGTTGGAAAATTGATATTCAAATATTTGTAAATTTTGATTGGGGGAGGGGGGGGGTATTTTTTGCTTAAAATGATATTTATGAAAACAGTCAAATTTGCGATCCCCCCTTATTGGTTACGCGCCTGAAAGATATTGCTTGTAACTATTTATTATGCACATATAAAATTGCACTTAAAATAATATCTATATTATAATTGTATTTTAATAATTAATATAGTAAAGACGAATGTTGTTAAATAAACGCGGATATCCCTAAATATAATTTGGTACACTAGTTTACGTTTCACTGACATAAGTAAGCTTCTAATTTGTCCTGTTCAAGACTGGTAAGCAATCTATTTTTTATTATCTTTAATTAGCCAGAGCTTCGGACCAGTATCTCCGGGCCGGGCCTAATAATATTTAAGAAAATTCGGGCTCGGGTTGGACCTTAGAAATTTTTTAAAATATATCTAAATTTATCAATTTTATGTTGAATTTTTTATGTAAAATAAAAATATTTGATTTTATTTATAGAAACTAAACGCCATATAACATATATCGTTTATTTTTAGTAATTTTAAAAATTAATTTCTATATTTAAATAAATTAGAGCAGGACCGGGCTGGTAAAATTTTTAAAAAAATTTGGGGTTCTGGCCGGACCGGCAATACTTTTAAAAAAATTTTATGCCGGGGCTTGAAAAATTAGGCCAGATGCAAATCACTAATCTCTATAACGGCAGGGGTACCAAATAATGGCGAGATACTTTTTGGAAATTTTTTTATTTTTTGAAAAAAAAGCAAAAGGGATTAAAATCTAAATTATATTCTAATCTTCTAATCTATTGTCATATAATATTAAATATTCTCCTTGAAACCATACCAGATGCTTTTCAATTATAGTTGGGGTTCATAGGATATTTCGAAATCAAAAGCAATAGCTTTTTTTTGGTAGGATAGATTGGAATTTGTAAAATGCCTAAGCCGGATGCAAGAATAATAGATATATATTGCAGAAGTAACACTAAAAATAACACCATGCAGACTTAGTTCCATGAATCTACCCCTCGAATTCATAGTTAGCAAAGCTAAGATGGTACTTCTGAAAGGATCAGTAGAGTAGAGGCTTGAGCTAAGGCCCAAAGGCAGCTTTTATTTGATATGTCATTGATTAAATTTAATCATTGTTCAATTATGCCAATCGATAAAAGAACTAAGAAATGTTTTAGGGATTTTGGACGAGATTCGCGTGTATTTCAATGGTGTTAAAAGTTATGCAGTTCTCAAAGCATATTGAAGTGATGTATACTGACAAAATCGCAACGATTTATAAGCAAGAATATCACTCGATAATATTATCCTATTTGTTTAGAAATTAAAATGTTTAATATATATTTTGAAGCTGTCTATTATCATTTATATCTATTGTAATTTTTTTTTATACTTTATGATGCCTTACGGATAGTTTTAAAAAATTTATCCTGTCAATTCTATCATGTCTAGTGCTATAGTTTTTAAAATAGAAAAATTTTATTTTATCACTTTGTGTTTTGGATAAAATATTGTTGATAACAACCTTGGCTTATATAAAATTGCAAACCATGTCAAAGTATATATGGTTTACAATAAATCAAATTTAATTCGAAAAGGATTACCTTATTAATTTGAAAAGTATAATTTAAATTATTTCCTGGCATTATTTTTTAACTTGTTAGATGATGACACTGAATTTTTTAAATGTTTTTTCAAAGGCACAAGATATCATGAAATAAAGAAATCTACCTTTTGATTTTAAGTTCTAGGTTTCAAACATTACAATACACAAAGGAAAAGTTTATATACATACATTGTTAAATATATTATTTTATTTTAGCATTAAAATGAATGTTTTATGCTGCATTTGGCTTGATAATAATGCAGTTATATGAAAGATTTAACGAAGAATCGATAAAATTTTTAAATAAATAATATTTTTTACACCAAAGGGAATGGTGGGAAAAACATTTGTTGAAGATTGAGGATATCTCTGAATTTTACCATTTGAATTCGGTCAAGTTCTTGAAGAAATGTCTGTTTCTAAATATTTTTATGATATCTAAAAAGGGGGTGTAATTATTACACATGACCTAAAGGTTGAAAAATCAAAAACTTGTCTGATTTTAGAATTGTAAATTTATTTTATTAAAATATTTATATTAATGACCAGGGCCATACCGCAGGTGTTTTGCTCTTTTACAACAAAATTTTAATTTTATATTATTGGATGAAACTAATTATATCAATAGAAAGAAAAGTGATCTTTCTTTTTTTCTCTTTAATAATATAAATATTAATTGTATTTTGTTAATTTGGTTTTAAGCAATTAGATTAAATAGATAAACGATTTTGTAAAAGTATATATGGATATATATTTTCTTATTGTAAACATATAATATATATTACTACATTAAATAAATCACTTCATTTCATTTCATTGGCGACGATTATTTATTTTTAAAAAAAAGAGACGTATTAAATATAAAGGTTAAAATTATACTATGCCTAACGAAGATTCTAAAAAGATATTTCTGAAGAAAAACGAAGAAACATCAACACCTACTCAATTTCATATTCCAGAATTCGTCAAAGAAAAAGTTAACATTCAGGACTATATAATATAGAACTCATCTTCAAAGTAAAATATTGATGATCAAAAAGATTTATTATTAGCATTATGGGCATTGATAATTTAAATTAAAAATTTTCACTATCCAATTTAGAAAGCATTAATTATTTAACTTTACTTGATAGTCTAGAGAAAATATTTAAGGATATTTCTAGTATTTTCCTACATCGCATTAATTTTTATACTTTAAAAAGAGGCGGTGAAACTATTATCGATTTTTCAATCAAATTGAAAAGTATTTGTTTTTTATGTAATTTTAAATCGAAGGTTGATGAAATCTTAAGAAATATTTTTATCTCAGGAGTTTGGTTGCCTGAGCTGGATAAAGAACTTTGGTCAAAATATACCGAAGGAAATGTCACTTTTGAAGATACTGTGCGTTTAACCCTGTATTGCATACTGTGTATCTCAAGCCACATACCACAAATTATATAATAAATATTTTATAAATAAATTTTAAATCAATTGCATGGTGTGTATTTGAAGCCATATTCTATATCTTCGATTGGAATTTTAATTTGGGCCACGTGATCTATTATTTATTTTTAATTTCGCATTTTATTAAACCCTATTTTTAAAAATGGCTATTTTTTTATAAAATTTTTCTTCTCAATTTTCTACACATCGTAAAAGGATAAATAATATATTTGACAAATTTCAAAACATTAAAATTAGATAAATAAAAGGTAAAAATTAATGTTTATGAAATTATTTTATATATATTTATTATTTTTGATAATTATATTTTGTAATAATCATACGTTGCTTTAAAGACACATTATGCAAATAAGGTATTTTATTTGAGTTTTATATTTTTAGAATTATGAATTGTGGTACCATACCTAATGATAGTGAAGATTCAAATTTAAGTGAATCGTCTGATGAGGAGTTTCTGTCAACCCAAAATAATGATTTAGGTATATTTATAATGTATGCTCTTATATATTCTATAAATATCTAGATTTCAATGAGAGTGATGAATCGGAAGAGGATGAAAATATAAATAATGAAAAAGGAATCGTGAGAAAAATGATTTGGAAAAATTGCTTAACTAATTTACCATTAGTTATTCCAAAGTGGAAAGGAGAAAACCCAACGGTTGATAAAGTAAAAAAACCAATGGATTATTATAATACATATCTCAATGATTTATTACCTCTAATTGTTTACGAATCAAATTTATATGCAATTCAATGTAATTCCAACAAACCTTTGAATTTATCGATAGATGAATTAGAAAAATTTATAGGAATTATTTTTTACATGTCAATTATTAAACTTCCCAGAGCACGTCTCTACTGGGCCACCAATACAAGACAGGCCAAGGTGGCTGATGTCATGACCCTAAATCGCTGGGAACAAATCAAATCATTCATTCATATAAATGATAATGACAAATTTATTCCACTTGGAAGTGAGGGCCATGACCCACTTCATAAAATTAGACCCTTGATAACTATAACCAATATTATACTAAAATCTTTATCGATAGGGGAAAATATTTGCGTAGATGAGCAAATAATTCCATACAAAGGGATGAGCAGATTAAAGCAATATAACCCCCAAAAGCCCAAAAATGGGGCTATAAAGTCTTTCTACTATGCGGAGATGATGGCCTTCTCCATTTTGAAGTATACTCTGGGAAAATACTACCAGCGGAAGGATTGCCTGATGTTGGAGCAAGTGGCAATGCTGTGCTACGTTTAATTTCTTATATACCACAGCAAATTAATTATAAATTATTTTTTGATAACTGGTTTTGTTCACCAAATTTGCAAGTCGTACTCGCTCAAAGAGGGATATTTTGCGCGGCCACGGTCAGAGGTAATCGACTACCAAATATCAACTTCCCAACAGATAAGGAGTTGAAAAAAAAAGGACGAGGATTTTTTGTTTCAAAAAAAACAATAATAAACGGGGTTGAATTAAATTCAGTGAAGTGGCACGACAATCGTGCTGTGACCTTATTGAGCACTTTTGTAGGTGCACATCCTCTTATCGATTGCGAAAGATATGATAGAAAAAAAAAGGATAAAATAATGATAAAATGTCCAAACATTGTTAAAGTTTATAATAAATCAATGGGAGGTGTAGATCTTATGGATTCTTTACTTTCATTATATAGAATTCATACCAAATCAAGAAAATGGTACCATCGAATTTTATTTCATGTATTCGACATGTTACTTATAAATTCTTGGTTGCTATACAAACGGGATTATAATAGTATATCAATAGCAGGCAAGGATCGATTAAGTTTGTACAATTTCAAAATTTCGGTGGCGGAAGTCCTTTGCAAATATGGCAAATGCACTTCAAACAATATTCCAAAACGAAAATCAGTTCAAACTGGTTATCGGGAAAAATGTAAAAAAGGACCAGCTCAATATTTACCACTTCAAGAGGTTAGGAAAGACCTCACGGCTCATTGGCCAAAATATAATGATAAGAAGGGTAGATGTAAAATGCCAGGATGCTTATTTATAACAAAAGTATCTTGCAAAAAATGTGGTGTATATTTATGTTTTACGCCCACAAATAATTGTTTTATAGATTTTCATGAAAATTAAAATGTTTAAACCTTTAATATTTGTTATATTTAAATAAAATTTTATATATTTATAGTTTAAAGTACAATAAAAATTATTGTGGAAATAATTGAAATTTGTATCCTTAATTGCATAATGTGTATTTAAATCCACATACCGTTCATCTTCTAAGAAATTTAGAATTTTTTTAAAAAAGTGAGCCATGAGATTATCAATAGTATCTAGAGAAATAAAAAATCTAGTTTGCCAAAAAAAAATTATTCTAACATAGTACATGCAATACAGGGT